ATATATATATCGTAAATGCCAACATTGCATAAATTGGATATATTAATTTATGATGTCACATTTAATTTACTTGCTATAATAATAGAGTTTAACCCTTACAAATTTATAAAAATCTTTTCCCAGTACTCAAAATATAAACGCATGAAGTTACCGTAGGTAACTTTTAGTAAAACAACAGGCTATAAAGACTTCAGGGACCAAGGTTAAAGTTTCATGTCAAATCTTTAAAAAAAAAATACGTGTGTTTGTTTTATATGGCTCAAAGTTAAATTCAGCAAACATTTATATGGCTCAAAGTTAAATTCAGCAAACCTTCCAAAAAGTAAGGATGGTTTATGTAAATATCATTTAAATCAAAGTAAAAGGAACACCTTTGAAGGAAACGTTTTGGAAAAAAAATACGAGAAAAAAAATGTAGGAACACGCGCCCAAGGATTGATCACACGACCTTGGGTACTATCACCTACGGTAACCAATAAGTTAGCCCTTATTTTTTCGTTTTAAAAATGTAATTAATTTGATTTAAAACGACGACAAACAGTTCCACCCACCATATAAATCAGATCTGAATTCTTATCTTCTTTACCCGGAAATAAACCCATTTTCTGCCATTTCTAAACATATCGCAGCTTCGAAATTTTTGTAAAATTAACATGTAAAATCACCATTAAAAATATCCATTTCTTGTTGACATTTTCCCATTAAAATTTTTAACAATAAATTTATAACCATACGAATTTCAGGTTTCATTATACCAAAAAATTCCACTCTTCAGATTTTTATCAAATTGCTATTGGTTGGATCGAATTTGCGATAATAGGTTGAACCAAAATACGTTTAGCTTGCATAAAAATCTGTCTAAGCAACTATATCGAGCTTAAATCGAATGAACATACCTTAACTTCAAGTAAAGCTCCTAAAACCTTCAAGGACTTCTAACACCAATTTCTCTCTTGATTCTCAACCTTTTCTCGCAATTCCAGTGGGATTTTCATAGGGTTTTTCGAGCTTTATATAATGCCTAACATTCTAACTGCTAAAAACTTATGATTTGCTCGAATTTACTCCTCCAATGAAGGTGACGGGTTTTAGGATTAAACCTCATTATTTTGCCTAATTAAAACTAATTACACCTAATTTTATTTCTAAAAAAAAACTGATATATTAATTAATTGTAATATATATCATTTTTTATGTGAGTTATCACAGTTTATTAGGTTAGAATATTCTCTTTTATGGAAAGCATATTCTCTCCACTAGTATATAAACTAGAGGTGAGTAGTCTTTTATTTTAAGAGTGTACTATGTAGACTTTAAAGAGAAAGAGAGAGAGTGTGTGTGTGTGTTTGGCTGTGGATTCTCCCTGGTCATGAGAGTTGTTCATGTAACATTTTGTATCTCTCTATCTATTCATTATCAGTTTACTCACATATTATGTTCATCATTACTTATACGATTATCTTCTTGATTGATTCCGATATATCCACCTCACCCTATTTCTTTTCTTTTATCCCTCACTTCACATGTTCCGAGGCTTATGCTCCTGTCACCTCAATTACGAAATCACCTGCCCTTTAATTGTAGTTGTCGGGTGTTGCTACACATGGAACAAAATAATGGGTTTTTACATAAACATACAATTCTATGTGTGCATGCAACCCTAACTTGATCTATGTCTTCTCTAATTGAACATACCATATAAACTAGAACATGCAAACCCCAGATCTATAGATAATAATCAAAAATCATGAATAAGGGTTAAGAAAAATACCTTTGATTGTTGTGTAGTAACAACAATCTAAAACCTTGTAGATATTTTAGCTTGAGAGCAAGTATCACAAGTGTAATACCTCTAATGAATTAAAAACACACTTAGCAAGAAGATGATATGTGAGAGGGAGGGGGAAGCTACAAAAATCGGCTACAACTCTCTAGGGTTTCAAGTGGCCGATTTTCATCAAGGGTATGGTTCCTTTCATAGTGAGGTGACTTAGAGCCAAAACTAGGGTTAAGAGTAGGAAACCCTAATTGCTTTGCTTAAGGACCAAGCAAGCTTAATCCCTTCCATCCAAAGCCCTTGGACGGAAATTCTAGGGCTTCTCTAGAAGATTTTCGTCCAAGCCTCTTAAGGAGGGTTCTAGAGCTTCTTTCCTCAACTATCATAAATTAGCAAACAACCCCTGTACTTTTAATTAATTCAATTAATCCCAAAACAAAATCCAATTAATTTTTGAATAACTATTACTTAAATAATATGATTTCTAATTAATATATTATTTACATAATACATTAATAAATCATTCATTTTATTTTATTAATCAAATTAATAAATTATTCCTCTTTCACAACTGATCATCATGTCTAGTTGCTAGTATGAAGGCAACCCAAAAGTATTGTGCTACAATCAATTCAAGGATACACCACTTATAGTTATGGGCTTAGTGTTGGGTCAATATTATGGTTTATACTTTGCTTTTCTGGGCAATTGTGTTTTTCTATAATATTTTATGTGTTTACGGCCGTAAACAGGTTTACGGCCGTAAACCCTGTTTACGGTCCAATAGGTATTTACGGCCGTAAACCCAGTTTACGACCGTAAACCCAGTTTACGACCGTAAACCCATTCTCGGCCCATATTCTCCAAGCCCATGTTCCTCTTGTATATATATAGGTGTTAGGGGTGAGGAGTAGAGATTGATGAACACATAGAATAGAGGAGCTTAAGTGTGTGCATTTGAAGGTGTTCTAGAGAGAGAGAAAAGAGAGTGTGTGTTAGTGTGTGTGAATCTTGTATCCGAATCTTCATTCATATCAATACATACA